GGGGGGGAGGGTAGCCTAGATCCTACCTTCCCCCCCGGGGAGGCAGGAATGAAGTCGGGTCCTCCCTCATTTCCTCCCATAGCAGAGCAGGATTCTTGGGCTGCGCTGGAGGGAGACTTGAAAGCCAGCCGCAGAGTAGAGCAGTCCAAGCTTTAAGTAAACAAGCAGCGTGTTAGAGGGTGCTGTGTGGAATGTTGAGGGAACAAGAGAGCATTTGTAACATGGAGCAAATGGTCACCACGGGGGACAGAGCTGGGCCAAAAGCTGGAGCTCAGCTAGAAATTTCCATGACATTTATTTTTATCTTCCCTTATGTTGCCGTTGGCATCACAGCGAATGAGAATCCAGATGGGTTGAGGGGGCTCCCCTGCTTGACCTTGAAAATTCTTGGGTGGATCGGACCTGGTGTCCACATGGGCAACTGTCTGTCTGCTACAAGCCCCGAGTTACAAGCATAAGCCTGCCTGTGTTTGGAAATGTGCTTGCAAGTGATGGCCTTCTGGTTGCCTCTGAAGCCTATATTGGAGATAACTCAACACAGTGTGTGTCTCTATCTTAGGGCATTGACCAGTTTGGGCCTCCCATGATCATCCACTTCCGGGTGCAGTACTATGTGGAGAATGGAAAACTGATCAGGTATGAGGGCAAAGAACCCATGAGCCTAAGCCTTGGCTTCCTCCGTAGCACTTACTTTGACACACACACCAAATATGCCATGGTGTCAATTGCTTTCTTCTGCCTGTGAGAATATAAACTCTCTACAACAGCAGGGTTTTTTGGTTGTTTGCTTGTGTTTTAGCATTCGTGTATTCTTAGTGCCTAAAACAACAGAGCCACATTTGTTCCTAAGTACTTGTTGGCTAGGTAAATGGAACACTACGGGTGGAGTGTTAATGTCACTGTCTCACATTTGCACTCACGGCCCACAAGGAGGAACTTTCATCATTGTGGAAAGAAATTTATTAAATATGATTATATTCTCTTTGGGAACAGGGCCCCAAACTCTCTCAAGCTGCTGTTTTTTTGTGTTAGCCTGGCTTTCCCTTCACTTGAGGTCTTGCTTGCACTCTTAATCAGTAGCTTAAAAACTAAGAGTAAGCCTGGTGGTGGTGGTGGTGGTGGTGGCGGCGGCGGCACCGCACTCCTTTAATCCCAGCACTCAGCAGACAGGGGCAGGCAGATCTCAGAGTTCAAGGCCAGCGTGGTCTGCAGAGTGAGTTCCAGCACAGCTAGGGCTACACAACAACAAAAAGAAACAAAACTAAGAGAAAGCCCGGAGGCGCTTCCTGTGGAAATCAAGGGTGCGCTCTGAGGGGTCAGGGAACAGGTTTTTTTCATCTTGGAGATGAATGCATGATCAATGCCATGATATGAATCAGAATTAACTGGTTTTAAACCTTTTTCTTTGGTGTGTGATTCAATGCTAGAGATCACAATTTTTGGTCGACAGAAACTGTAGGAAACATGAACTTGTTTCCCTTTACCTTTAAACTTTAAGAAACTTTATATGAATGTTATGTGAAAAACTAGTACTTGGTATTTTCTGTCATTACAAGATGCAAAGTAAGAGTGAGAAATAGTATTACATAGAGAGTATTTGTAAAGGCCAAAGGTTGGTAGTTAGCCTTGGCTTGTATGACATGCTGACCCGCTTCAGCTGGTAGGGGTGGGACGCTCTGTAGAGAAGGGAAATGGCCACTAATAAACTCCGTAGGGCCAATAAATGTTAACCCTTTACTTCTGCGCCCTGTCCCCCTCCCGCCATAAACCTCCCAGCAGCATCGAGTCAGCATTACTATAAGGCAGCGCTGAAAAGTAACCTAGCCATGGGAAAATAATACATAGATGCTTTCTTTTTAAGCTCTTCATTCTTAGCCCTGGCCTTGGTTAAAATAGACCCGTATGTTTCTGTTATCATCTGCTGGTGAGCTGTGACCTCAGGTGAACAGCCTGAAAAAGTGAGGGCGGTGACCTCACTGAAAACATTAGCACCTGCGATCATTTTTCCTTAATCATAAAACTAATCCTATTTGCCCGCAACCATTTCTTCTGAGTTGACTGGATGTCCCACTCATTCTGCCATCGCCACTGCCAGCACTTCCTGTTCACCTCCCCAATGGAGTCTGATTTTATTTCTGGCTGGAGTAGATTAGAGAGCGGGCACTGTTAGTATCTCCTCGTGGGGACCATCGTGGTGGTCATGACACGTGCCTGTATAAACACTTCAGAAAGCAGCCTCCTCCTGTAAAACAAGGCAGGTTTAAGGAGCACTTTGCTGCTTTCCTCCTCAGAGCAACAGAAAAATAACAGACCACTAGTGTGTGCTGTGTTCTCCTGGCAGCGTTTTAAAGTGCCGTAGAGCACTTGTGAGCCACTGAGGAGAGGAACAGTACAGGGAGCACCAAGCAGAAAGGCCAGGCTTGCCCTGAGGTTTGTTCCCTCAGACCTGCCTTTCTTTGAATGAATCAAAGGCTGTGAGCTTTCGGGCTGAGCCTTCTGGCCCCCGCAGCCTTCTGAGCCTCCTCTGGTCTTACCTTGGGCTTTTCCCCTCCACACTCCCCGCTAAGGGAATCGAGCACCGGGAAGGGAAGCCAGTGGGGTTTGGGTTGTGTCGGCATGTCTGTACTGGTCCACCATAGCATGAGTACTGTCCTCCTGTGTCTCCCTAGTGACCGGGTTGCAAGGTACTTCTACTACTGGCACCTGAGAAAACAAGTGCTGCTGTCTCAGTGTGTGCTCAGGGAGGAGGCCTACTTCCTGCTGGCAGCCTTCGCCCTGCAGGCCGACCTCGGGAACTTCAAGAGGAATAAGCACCATGGAAAGTACTTTGAGCCAGAGGCATACTTCCCTGCCTGGGTAGGTACTGTGTGGATTCTCTATCTAACACATCAGCCTTTTCAAAAGATGAGCCTTCATGCTCTGGGCACAGTGATGCCCAAGTACAGGTCCGAGGCCGGGAGCTGGGCACAGTACAAGTCTATACTCTTGTGCTTGGAGCTGAGGAGGCTCGCTTGGCCAGCCCAGATGTGGAGGACCTTCAGTCGTTCCCAGCCCCCTGTGGGGGTGTGCCTAGCCGTGACACTCCTGGTGAAATGCATTTTCCCCCTTTGAGGAAAATCGTTTACCTCTCAAGAAATGAGATCATTCACAGTTTTAATGGGCTGAGAAAACAAATCTAAATCAACTCTTGGCTCCAGCCTCTGTGTCCTTCGCTGGCAGGCGAGGAGCCACCCCCTTCTGTAGGTGAGAAGATGTAGGTCATTCTGACAGGCATGGTCTCACACACGTGCTCCCTAGCCTGTTGTGTTGCCATTTGTCCCCCAGTCCTCTGCGTCCTCAGCTCTGGCTCAGGCTCGTTCTCCTGCAGTTGGTGTTCACAGAGCAGTGGGTGGCCTGTGTCCAGAAAGCAGAGCCACCAGGCCTGCTTCCCAAAAGATAGGCCAAGTGCATTTGATTTTGCTAGCTTCTTTCTTCCCCTGTGCAGTCCTCAGGCCACTTCCGCCTGCCTGCTTCCTGTCAGCATGCACACACTGTCTCGAAGGTCACCGATGACCTTTACATTGCCTGATTTAGTAGATGCTTTTCTCTCCTTTCACTGACTTTTCTGCTGCACTTGACACCTGGCCGTTCACACCAGAGAGATTTCATCCCAGTCAGCACTTTTCATGACCACCTTCACAAGATGCAGGTAACACCCAAATATGTTTACACTGTCCAGGGAGGGAGCACTGCAGACTTGGAGCACCCCAAATCACATTCTTGCTCTCCAGCCTCCCCAGAAGTAGCCCTGTCTCTGTATTCATGGTGTCAGAGTGCTGGAAGCTGCTGTGGGCCCAGGTGCCCAGACCCTGGCATCACGTGGACTCTGTGTAGCTCTGTGCCTTGTCCACATCCTACCCAGCAACAGTTTGTGTCCTCTGACAGGACCGCTCCATTACCTGTCACCGCGTTTAGTCCCGAGTCTGTTAGCTTGCATTCCTTGCATGTCCTCTGCAGCCCCTTCCTTTAGCATTCCCTCCATTTGAGTCCCGGATCTCAGCACACTGTAGAGATGTCACTGCCTCGGTGTCCCCCAGCTTGCATCTGAGAGGATGGAGCCTCTGACTTAAACCTGAAGGAACTCTCCAGTTGCCTGTGGTGTGAAATCCTGGCTGAGCTGTGAAAGCCCAGGATCTGGTTGGTTTCTTAACTGTGCCCCAGCAACATCCACCTAGTGAGTTATGGGTATGCCTGCACAGTTCCTGGGGTGCCTTACACTTCTGGACCCGCTCCTACTTCAGCCACCCACCCCCAAGCAGGCTTTCACTGTGTGGGCCTGGCCTCGCTGGAACTACCTGTGTAGACCAGGCTGGTTTAGCACTCACTGACGTGCTCCTGCCTCTGCCTCCTGAGTGCTGGAATTAAAGGTGTGCAGATGTAGCGCCACACCCATCATGGGCTTCTCTTCCTGTAGCTGCTTCAGCGTGTGAAGCCTCTCTCCTTGTTCCAGCTGGCTAGCTCCTGTTCCTCTGCCTGTCGGCTCCTGGGGAGTGGTTGTGTTTTATCCATCGATGTGCTCAAGAGGCTCGCCTACATGAAAGTACTGTTCATCAGTCCCAGCAATTCCAGCACTTCTTTGTATATTTTAAGGGACAAGTGTGACTGCAGCCGTTTCTGCTTTTGATTGACATTTCATGTTTGGTTATTGAAGAGAAAGTGTGAGACATGGCGCCTCTGGCTGTTGGTAGCAGCCTTTGCATTCTCCAGCTGCCATCAGATCGCCAGGCTTGGTCATTTCAGTCAGACGTTCCACATAGTACATCTTGGCCCCAGTGACCAAGGTTCCAGCTCTCCACCTCCTGAAGAGCATCCAGATCCTCCACTTGGGAGTCCTTACAGTGTTCCCCATGTGTTTGGGACGTGGCAAAGAGAAGCTTGGTGTTCTGATCGAGGTGATCTCTGTAAAGAAGCCAGAGAGCAGAGGCTGTAACTCTTCAGCAAAACTTGATAAAGGCTCTGTCATCTCCTGTGCATACTTTTTTTGGGAGGGAAGGGTGCAGTGGAACAGTTCTTAGATAAGGTTTCTCTTTGTAACAGTTCTTGCTGTCCTAGAACTTGCCTTGCGTTGGTTAGCTGGTTGGTTGGTTGGTTGGTTGGTTGGTTGGTTGGTTGGTTGGTTGG